TAAAGTTTAACTTTACTCTCGATGTCCTCTTGTGATTTGTCTTGCCGAGGGGGGCGGGGGAGGGATGGGAAACCCCCAAAAGCCTCGTGCACAGGGGGCGGCTCAGACCACAATGCGTTTTATTTACATTGTACACCTTGAGAGAAGACGCTTAAATAAATCTGCAATGAATTGAGCATCTCCGAGAGAATAAGTTACCGGCTGCTGCTGGGCCACAGCAGCTCCCACCAATGCCACAGGTGGCAGGGAGGGGGTCCCTGGGGGCGACAGTCCATAGATCCTGGCACTGCACGGCAGCCCTGTGCCACTCCACATGCCAGGAGGAGAGCAGTCCGCAGGCCTTGTGCCCTGGCACAGACAGGCCCCAACAGCTAAAACACAGCAGGTAAAACACCGGAGGCATCCGGCGTGCGCCAGCTGCCCAGCCGGCAGCAGCGATTCCCTTTTGGCACAAGGGCTCAGTGGTGGCAGCAGCTGTAGAAGTAGGGACTGCTCCTCTGGCCCAGGTTGACACTCTTGTCCTCTGGAAGAGAGCAGGAGCGGCAGGCTGCTGGCACATCCACGCCACAAAATGCTGTGTGGCAGCCCCAAAGCTGCTGGTCCCAGGCGTGGGCCCCAGCAGGTCCCATGAGGAGGGTTTGGTGCCCCTGGAGAAGCAGCAAGGCCCAGGGCCACAGCACAGCCCAAGGCAATGGCACAGCCCAGGGTGGGAGGTACAGCCAGGCTGAGCACGCTGGGGCAGGCCTGGTGAAGAACTGAGCCAGTCCTGCAGCCTAGCGAGGCTCCTGGACACCAAAGGCCGTCATGGCCCAGCTGTGTGGACATGCTGAGCCTGGCCTAAGCAGGGACGAGGATGCTGTGATGGGACCCAACCTCCACAGGACAATCCCCAGCACAGAGCTGCAGCAGCCCCAAGCAGGGCAGAGGTGAGGAAGGGCCCTGCCAGACCCCCCATCGCTCATATTCCACACTCAGCAGAGGCACAAAAGAGGGTGCCTGGGGAGAAACAGCTCCTACCTACTCACCTGTCATCACCTGGAAGGCGGAGAAGTTGACGTAGTCCTCGGCCACCTTCTGGAACAGCTCATCTGGGGGGGAGAGGTGGCACAGTGGGTGTGGGTGCCCCCGCCAGGCAGAGCCCCCTGCCCCTGCTCTGCCCAGGGCATGGCCCTAGCGAGGGGTTACTCACCCACACTCTGGCCCGTCTTACTGGAGGTCTCAAAGTGGTCTGCTTTGATCTCTGAAACAAGGTCCAGGTTGGCACTTGCTGCAGGTGCAGGATATGGCCCAAGGGCTCAGCTGCCCCCAGAGTCACCCCTCGGGCACAGCTGCTGACAGGGGGCTGGCAGAGACCCATGACAGGGCTCCTGGCCCCTTGGCCCAGCTGGCCACGTGCCTGCCCATGTCAGGACATGCTGTGCCCAGGGAGGTCCCTGGTAGAGCTGGCACCTCACCACACACAGAGCCCTGGTGCCACCGGATCTGCTGCGGGCTCAGGGCAAGGGCAGAGCCATCCCCCCGTGCCCCCCACCCCCTGTGCTGCGGGAGCCCCAGGAAGGGCCAGCAGTGGCTGTACCATCGGCATAGTCCTGCACATCATGGAAGTCAATCCCCCGCTTCCTCCTGTCTTCCTCCAGCAGGTCACACTTGGTGCCACACAGGTAGATCCGGCAGCCCTGGGGCAGGGAGAGGGATGGGAGGGATGTGCCCATGTCTTTACCAGCAGCCCCCCTGCCCCACAGTGAGGCTGTGCAGCCCCCCAGCACCCCTGTACCTCCTCACAGTTCTGCAGCTCGTTCACCCAGAACTTGGCTCGCTGGAAACTGCCACTGTCGGTGAGATCTGGGGAGAGAGAGGGGTCAGAGTCTGTCCAACGCTTTCCTCAGTGCCTGACCCACCAGTGCTGCCACCACTCTGTCCCAGGATCCTGGGACCTCCCCATCCTCCATGCCCTTACCATAGCAGACGATGGCAGCCCGGGCCCCCCGGTAGTAGATGCGGCTCATGGCCTCATAGCGCTCCGAGCCGGCCGTGTCCTGTGGGACACAAGGAAGTACTTGGCAGGTGACTCTTGGAGATCCATGAGCCAGGGGGTGGCTGGGGATGTCAGCACAGCCCTTGTCTCTGCACTTACCCAGATGCCCAGGGTCACTGTCTGCTCCCCCACGGACATCACCTTGGCCACGAAAGCGGCTCCAATCGTCTGGAAGTGAAGCAGGAGGAGCAGTGGGGACTAGCCCAGGGATGCCTGGAGCATCTGGCCTTGGAACATGGTGGGAACCGGCCCGGGAACACGGGGAAACACACCCGGGGACGTAGGAGGAGCGGGTATGGAAACAAGGGGACCAACCCACGGGCATGAGAGGGATGTGGAGGGGCTCCAGCCCAGGCATGGCGGGAAACAACATGAGGGGACATCGTGCCAGGGATGTGGTCTCACATTGCCAGAGACACGGTGAGGGCACGGGCGGGATACGGAGGGCACCAGCCCGGAGATCGAGAGGGGTGAACACGAAGGGACCACCCTGGGGACATGAGAGCGACGCGGGGGACACCGTCGTGGGTACGTGGGAGGTACCGCGCCGGTGACACGGTGGGGAAACGAGGCGACGGACCCGCGAGTGCAGGAGGGGTGGAGGGGTCCTATCCCGGGGATGGCGGGGGACAACACGAGGGGACACCGTCCTGGGGATGTGGAGGGACACGGCGGGGGAGCGAGGGCACCGACGCGCGGACGGGCCACACAAGGGGCTCATCCCGGGCAGACGCGGGTGACGCGATGCCGCGGAGGCGCCGCAGCAGCACCGCGGCGGTGCCCGTGTGTCACTCACGTTCTGGTAGGGCCCGGCGCGGAAGCGGCCGTGGGCGCAGCGCTCCACCAGGCTGCTCTTACCCACGCCCTCCTGCCCCAGCAGCACCACCTTGGCGTCCACCCGCCGCCCGCTCATCCTTGCGCCGCCGCCGCCGCGGGCGGGGCCGCCCCGGGCGGGGCGGGGCCGGAACCGGGCGGGGCGGGCCCGGACGTGCGCAGGGCCGGGCGGGGCGCGCGGGCCGCATGGCGGCCGCCCAGGAGGCGCGGGCCTGAGCGCCGGGCCCATGGGGAAGTACTGCGCCAGCCTGAGCGTCCTCAAGGGGCCCTGGGACCAGGTGTTCGCCGCCTTCTGGCAGCGCTACCCCAACCCCTACAGGTGCGCCCGGGGCCCTCCCCGACCCCCCATGCGCCCGCTGGCCCCCCCCCCCATCCCGATGCCATCTGGGAATGCTGCCCCTCCTCCTCGGCCCAGCCCTTTCCCGGGGGTCCCGCGGGGGCTCTGCTCGTCCCCCTCCAGCCTTCTGGGATGGGTGCACACAGCGGCGAGCTGGTTTCCCCCTCCCTTAATCCCACGGTGCCTGATGGTTCCCAGCCCTTGGTGGGGCTGGCCGGGAAGGAGCAGGGCTTGATGTTTTCTTCCGCCGTTTTAGCAAACATGTCCTGACCGAAGACATCGTGCACCGGGAGGTGACACCGGACCACAAGCTGCTGTCGCGGCGGCTCCTGACCAAGACCAACCGGATGCCGCGCTGGGCAGAGCGCTTCTTCCCAGCTAACGTCGCCCACTCCGTCTACATCCTGGAGGACTCTATCGTGGACCCCAAGAACCAGACCATGACCACGTTCACCTGGAACATCAACCACGCCCGTCTCATGGTAAGTGCCGCGGGCGGGAAGGCACAGGGGGGTGGAGGGGGCCCAGCAGTGCCTATAGCCGGGCTGTGCCTCCTACAGGTGGTGGAGGAGCGGTGCGTGTACCGGGTGAACCCGGAGAACAGCAACTGGACCGAGGTCAAGCGAGAGGCCTGGGTCTCCTCCAGCCTGTTTGGTGTCTCGCGGGCCATCCAGGTGAGCACTGCTCGAGCAGCACTGTGTGCCCCCCTAAAGCTCCTGCTCCCCCTTTCTCTACCCATTCCTTGTGATGGTTTTTACACCCTTTCCCCTTGTTCCCCCAGCCCTCATGAGCTCTTCGGGCACCCAGAACCATCACTGTCAAAGTCACTGTTTGTGACTTCTCAAGCTGGGACAAAAGCCCCAGGGGCTGTGTGTGACAGGAAGCTGGGCTTGCACCTTCACTGACTTTTCCCTTGCAGGAGTTTGGTCTGGCCAGGTTCAAAAGCAACGTGACCAAGAGCACTAAGGGATTTGAATACGTGCTAGCAAGAATGCAAGGTGGGCACCAGGGGCAGGCTGGGGCTGACCGGGACGGGTCTCTTGGAGTTAGAGGTCACACTGGGAACACTCCAGTCCATGAGCAGGTCGCAGCTTGAACTGATCTGACTGTGAAATCCTCCTCCCTTACCTTTGCCCCATGCCTTGGCACAGCCTGCCCTTCCTGAGCGGAGCAGCCGGGCAGTGATTGCAAGGCCAGGCAGGGGTGGAGTGCAGTGCAGGCAGGACGGGATGTGACAGGGCAGCAGTGACGTGTCTGCGGTTCCCCTTTGCAACGTGCCCTGACGTGCCGAGGTCAGGAGCACCAGGCTCATCTGCGTGGGGAAGTGCCTTGGTGCCGAGGCGGCTGGGCAGGTCTGGCTGGCACTCCAGTGCTGGGGCAGGGCTGAGTTAACAGCTTCCGTGTTATAGGAGAAGCTCCATCCAAAACACTGGTGGAGACTGCCAAGGAAGCGACCGAGAAAGCCAAGGAGACAGCTCTGGCTGCTACAGAGAAAGCCAAGGACCTGGCGAGCAAGGCAGCCACCAAGAAGAAGCAGTACGTGTGAGGGGCCAGCTGCACCAGGACAGATAGAAATCTCCTTAGATTTTATATTTTTAAAGAAACTGTACAAGTCTGACAATCAGCTGCTGTTAGACCCTTTCTGAGATGTAATTATCATTAAAGAATCTACTCCCACCTCTGATTTGACTGGACTGGCCTGGCTAGAACAGAGCCCAGTGCTGCCCTCCACTCTGGGGGTCCAGCCTGCTGCCGGGATCACAGGGAAGACACAGGCCAGGATTTTACCAAGTGCCTTTACTATAAAAGTGTGGGGTCTGTACAAAAGAGCGGGGTGCCTGTGGGAGCATGAAGGCAGATTGCTTAATGCACTTGTTTCCCCTTTCTGTCTCTCCAGGGGTGGGACAGCCCTCCTGTAGCCATGTCTGCAGTGAGCAGCACTGCCACATGCCTGGCGGTGCACAGGGGGAGGCGTGAGGGTTTCCCCATGACAGCTGGGCCCTCTTCCAGTGCCTCTCCCAGTGCTTTGCAGTGCACTCACAGTGGGTGCCACAGTGCGGTGCCAGCCCCGTGCACCCAGTGCCACAGCCAGTGCTGCCCAGCAGCCCAGCTGCTGGGGGCCAAGCTGGGTGCTCACCCCCACCTGTGGCCCCTTATCCTGGCTGTGATGAGGCCGAGGAGGCTGCATTTCCAGCAGGAAGGAGGCAGGCAGGCAGTGCAGGGAAGGCAGTGGGCATTGTCAGGATTCCGGGCTGTGGAGGCTGGAGTAGCTGTGGTCCCTCCCGGTGCCGAAGGCGTGCAGCAGGTCCCCACCGAACACCACACCATCCACCTCTACCTCGGCATCCTCTGGGCACCGGGGGGGAAGAGCCCAAGTCAGGACCCCGGCTGCTTTTCCTTTCCTGCCCACCCTCCATCCTTCCCCTCCCTTACCTCCCTCGGAGGGCTCTGAGAGCTGGGATGAGTCTAGGCTGTCAGCCCGTGCCCGTTCCCCGTCGGTGGGTAGGAGCAGCCATTCCAGCCGCCGCCGCAGGCTCCGCTGCCGGTCTCGCAGCCGGTCCTTGGCCCTCCGTGCCCTCAGCTCCTGCTCCTCCAGCCTCTGCGGGGACCCAGCGAGCCATGAGCGGGGCAGAGCTGAGCGGGCCTGTTGCCATACGGGGTCCCCCGAGTGGTACCGGGGTCATCTCCCCTCACCTGGATGTGAAGGCGGGCACGGTGCAGGAGGCTCAGCGTGGTGGGACGGGCCGGCCCCGCCGCCACCGGCACCTGCTGCTTCAGCCGCTCCAAGCAGCACCGGAGCTGGGCTCTCCTACAGCCGGGCGGGAGGGGGATGGCACGGCGGTCAGCCCGAGGGTGGGCGCACGGGCAGAGCCACCCCTTGCCCCGCCGCTCCCCCCACACGCCCCGGTACCTGTGTTTCTCCAGCGCGTTGTGCACCGACCTGCGGGAGGAAGAGCCGCCGGCGATCAGCACCGGCGCCGCCGGCGACCGCCACCCACCCACTCTCCCGCCGCTCACCTGACGCTGCTCACGGCCCGGCGCGACCGGGCGGGGCAGAGTGAGGCGTAGCCGTGCTCGGCCTCGGCCAGGCCGGGCGGGTCGCGGTGGTCCCGATGCTCCAGGAACTCGGCCGCCTGGAGCAGCACCTGGATGCTGGTGGTGGCCGCGGGCTCCATGGCGGGAGGGGGGCGAAGGCCCCGCGCTGATTGGCTGCGGGACACCGCGCGCCGCTGACGTCACCACGGCGGGCAAACAACTTTGGGCGGGAAAGCGCGTGCTTCAAATTTGAATCGGGGGGCGGGGCCGGGGTGGGACACGCCTCCCTTGTAAAAGCCACGCCCCCGGTGGTTAATTAATTACCACGCCGTGGCCGTGCCCCCCCGGGAAGTGTTCCTCATGTCTGCTCCCATGCGCGTCCGGAGACGCGCGGGTCGCCCCTGCCCGCCCGTGGGAGCTGGGCGGGGAGCGCTCACACCCCCGCCATCCCCAGACCGCTCGGGACACCCCCAACGCCTCATCGCCCCACCGCGCCCACAGGTGTTCCCACACCGGCTGCGACCGCTAGCCCGCCCCGCTCCCCCCTTCGCCCCGGGAACCCAGTGCAACGCGGCCCAGCCAGGCGGGCTTCTCTCTTTATTAAAATCCGTCGGGTGCAGGCGGTGGGGAAGGGAGGGCAGGGGAGCGCCGGGCCTCCGGGCACGGCACTGCACGGCACGGGCGGGTGTGGCACGGGCGGCCCTGGGGCACCCGCCGTCATGTGAGGGCTGTTTGCACCTTCTCAGGCCAGGCCGTGGGGTGGGAGGGGAGACTCTGCCCCGGGCCCAACAACAGTCAAAGTTCACCTGAAAAAAAACCACCACGAAGCACATTTCCAGCCGGGGGGGAAGTGCACGCGGTTCACTGAAAGCAGGGCACGGCCACGGTGCATCGGGAGGGGCGGTCCTGCGCCCACTGTGACCCTGGCCCGCCAGCACCAGGCGTGGGCTGCCGCCGTCTGTGGGGTCCTGCCCCTGTGTGAGGGGGAGTCCTACTGCCTTGTAGGGGGGTCCTGCCATCATGCCCACCCAGCTCTGACAGCAGTCATAGGGCTGAAGAGCTGCCCAGCAGCCCCGGAACGGCCCTTTGCCCCCGGTGCATGGCCTCCTGCAGATGCAGCTCTGGCAGAGGGGCTCTCATTGGCTCCGGGTGCACTGGGATGCGGGTGAGAGGTGTGTGGTGTAGCAGTGGGTGCAGACACGCACAGGTTTGGTGTGGCTGTAGTGCGGCAGTGCTGCAGCATGCGGTGAGCAGCGGGCACAGAAGATCTGCAGGAGAGGGCCAGAGGGGGGCTGAGCAGAGGCAGGTCCCTCAGGGACCCCACACACCCCAGCTCAGCCCCATCCTACCTTCCCACAGCTGCGGCAGTGGTGCCGGCGGCGCAGCAGGGTGAAGGGCGAGCGGCAGGCAGAGCACTGGCTGCACGTGCTGTCGGGCACCCACTCAGGCAGGCGGTGAGTGCCTGCTGGGCAAAACATATTAGTAAAACCCGCCTGTGCCAGCCCCCCTCAAAGCCAGACCCCCTCTGGCAGAATGGGGGCAGGATCAGCCCCAGCCTCACACCTGCCCCAGAGCCATGGCACCTGGGCAGCCCCTTACCTGCCCTCCAGAGCCCGGCAGCCTCTGTGGGGCTGGAGCACAGTGGGCAGTCAGCCACACGAGGAGCATCTGCCACACAGGAGTCATCATCCTTCTTTCCTGCAGGGACAAGCACTATGGTGGAACAGCCAAACCAGGCACAGGCAGTATGGCCACGTCCTCCCCATGCCTGGGGCTGTGGCCTTGTCTCACCAGGGACGGGCACTGGGCAGGGCAGAGGAACAATCTCTCACTCTCTGGGGATTACTCACGGCTGGCACTGGGCTCCTCCAAGGGCTCCGCCTGCGAGGCCACAATCTTGAAGACCGTTTTCAAGATGCTGCGCATGTCACTGGCAAAGTTGGTCTGGAGCTGATCGGCAACCCCTGCACCAGAAGGGTGGGGGGTCAGGGTGCTGGGGAGCTCAGGGTCCTGGGGGGTCTCGAGGGTCACTCACCAGAGATGCAGACAAAGAGGGTGTGCAGCATGTCCTTGGTGCTGCTGTACCGGCAGCGCAGCTCTGAGCAGCGGGCACCCGGGGTGGCACCTATCCCTGGGCTGCTCCCGGGGATCTGGGGGCTGCACGGAGGGGAGGTGACAGTTACCCTAGGGGTAGTGTGAAATGTCCTGTCCCAGTGGACAGGGATCTGCCATCTCGGCCCCGCTTCCTGCCCACCACACACCCCCACTGCCAGTCGGTGCCTGGGTTGTCGACAGCCCCAGAGGGTCCCAGTAGCGTCGTGCAGGTGAGGGCTGGTGGTGTGGCACAAGGGATCTCCAGGAGAGCAGAGGGAGCAGGGGGGTCCTCTCTGGGCACAGCTGCTCCCCACACTGGGGTGATGTCCGGACCACAGGGATCCTCTGGTTCAGCTGTGCACAGGCTCCTCTCCAGCAGGCAGAGCTCCTCCACTGACAGCACCCGCAGCAGCTCCCTGAGGCAAGGGGACGGCATCGACCCCATGTCATGGCCCCCCTGCTGCCCCATGGCCCCACCCAATGCCCCCCACTGCATACCTGATCTTCTTCAGGAGGTTGTAGAAGGGGCTGAAGACCCGGGACATCTCCTCGGGGCTCCGCTCCAGGCTGAGGGGACCCTCGGGGTAGATGAGGAGGCCGCTGTGAGGGGACAGAGCTCAACTTACATGAGGGATTGCCCAGGACCCCAGTTCCCCATGGGGAGAAGGGGCTGGTACAGGGCAGGGAACATCCCCCCCTTCTCCAGGGGCTGCACCCACCTGATAATGGCCAAGCGAGGGATGGTGAACATCAGCAGCGGTTCATAGCCATCGATCATCTCCTGGGTCAGGTAGCCCAGGCGCAGGGCTCTGGGGACACACACACCCCCTTACAGTGGGGCTGAGCCTCAGGACACTGCCCACCCTTGGGGCTGGGGTCCCTGCTACCCTGACCTGATGTGCAGTGCCCTTCACTCACCTCTCCACCGTCTCACAGAACAGCACAATGATCTCCTGCTGCCTGTAGATCTCCTCGGGAGACTTCACTGCCACCAGCGAGGACACATAGCTGGAGAGATGCAGGGAGTGTGAGGCCCCTCCAGTCCTGGCACAGGCCCCCAGCACCCCAGCCCTGGCCCCCACCTCAGCTCGAACTCTGCAAAGAGCCGGTCGAACTGGATAAGCACAGCCCGGACGGGCTCCGGGTAGGAATTGGGCTGGCTCAGGCTCTGCTCCCGTAGCACCGTCCGCACCAGCTCCAGGCTGCACAGCAGGTTCCTGGCCTGGGGCCGCAGCTGTGCCCTGTCCGCCTCCTCCACCTCTGGGAAGGTCCCAGCCAGGAGACACTGCTAGGACAGGGACCATCAGGAGCCAGCACCCGGGGGGGGCAGTGCAGCCCCTAAACCCAGGGTCAGCTGGTAGTGGGGGGCCTATTGCCCCCCAGCCTCAGAGAACCAGACCTCCCAGACAGCATCCCTGGGCTCACCTCAGCAGCAAACAGCATGTGGTTCCCCAAGTTGTCCACCAAGAGCTCCTCGGGGAACTTGACCAGGTAGTCCCGGCTGTGCCGCTGCGTGGGGATGCACTCCTCCATGATCCGCTCCAGGATGGCCAGCAGGTGAGCCTGGGGAGGGCATGGATGTCACCCATGGTGTCCCAGGGGACCAAGTCACACCAGGGTCCTGGCTGTCCCTGTACCTGACTGAGGTGGAGCTGGTTGAGGAGCACCAGGTACTGCTGCGGGTCCAGTTCGGCATCCAGCCCGTTGATCTCGGCCACCACCGCTGTCACCCTCTCATCGGCAAAGAAGAATTGGGAAAGCAGGCGAGGGTCGGAGCGCTGCGGGAAGAGCACAGAGGGGTGATGGCAGGAGCACCCTGTGTGCTGGGCCAGAAGGATCCCAAATCCCACAAGCGAAGCAGGGATGTTTGGGGCCCATGGATCCACAAACATCCACTAGGGCAGGTACGTGGGACCCTCCCACAGCAGCTCTGACTCCTCCCGGGGAGAGCCGCCTTCCCCACCCACCCGTGCCTCAGTTTCCCCGGGGGGCAGAGCAGGACGAACAAGTTCGGCCGCATCCTGGCAGCGCGGGCACGGATCCGTGCATGGCTGTAAACACCGGGAAAGGTCCGCGGGAGTCCCCCAGCTTCCTCCTCCCGCTCCACCCCGAGGGACCCTCGCCACCCTCCCCTGCGCCCGGGACCGGCGGAGCTCCCGGACGGGGGCTCCGCCGGTCCCGGGCGCAGGGGAGGGTGGCCGGCCCCGGTGCCACCCTCCCCGGTCTCACCTTGGGTCGGCGGAGCCACCGGCGGAGGACAGCGGGCAGCATGGCGCGTCCCGTGGCTCTGCCGCCGCCCGGCTCCCCGCGCCCGCCGCTCGCCGACGGGGCGGGTCGGTACCGGGCACCGCCCGTGGGGGCGGATCGGAGCGGTGTCCGCCCAGTGCCGGCACCGGGACGAGCCCGTCCGCGCCTCGACGGACCGGTTCTCTGTGATGGGAAGGGTGAGGGTGCGTCTCCCGTGGGGCGGGATGGGTTTCACCGCCGGCTCCACTTCCTGGTCACGGTTCCTAGCTCCAATCCCCGGCTGCATCCCCGGTTATCCCGTCCCGGTTCCCCTTTTCCCGCAGCCCAACCTTCAGGAGACAGAGATACCCCAGAGATTCCCTGAATGATGGGGGGCACCAGGGGAGGCACCCGCAGACACCTTTACTGTGCAGGACATGGAGTGTGGAGCAGGGGGATGCAGTGGGAAGTGAATAAAGCAGCCCCTCGGCGGGAGAAGAAGGCGCCGAGTGGCCAAGGAAGGGTTCCGGGGGTGCTTGGGGTGCTGGGAACAGCAATCCCACCCTGGCTGTGCCAGAGGAGGTGTCTGCTCCAGACCTGGCACTGCTGGCCACAGGATGTGGGTGCCGATAATTCAGGTGGCTGAAAGCCTAATGGGGTGGATTCATGGGTAAAAAATTCGCGGAGGACGGTTGGATAAACACGGCAGCACCTCCTCGGCTTGAGGAAGTCCCTGAGTCACGGCAGCCCCGCGGTGCCCAGGCTGTGCTGGACAGGTGCATGTGTAGGACTAGCCCTAGTGTTGAGGGGCCAGTGTTCC